AGGGAAGAGGGAAGAGGGAAGAGGGAAGAGGGAAGAGGGAAGAGGGAAGAGGAAAGAGGAAAGAGGGAGGGAGGGATGGAGGGACGGAAGGAAGAGGAGGGAAGAGGAGGGAAGAGAAGGGAAGAGAAGGGGAGAGAAGGGAAGAGAAGGGGAGAGAAGGAAAGAGAAGGGAAAAGAAAAGAAGAGAAGGGAAAAGAATAGAAACAACACGAAAACTCCTTGATGTGCCCATGCATCTATGGCGACTAAGGTGGCTACCCTGCCAGGCCACCAAATCTGAACCTCTTGTCCTTTCAGGGTGTTGTCATAGGCCCACCTGAGCAGCGCTGCTATGCACTGGTGAGCAGTTTGCAAAGAATGCTGAGTCAGAATTGATTAGATGATTATATAGGCCCGATTCAACCTTGTGTCAAAATGATTTGTGCCAAAACCCGCACTTGCAATTTGCCAAGAAGATTTCACAACTTTCATATCCTTCTCCCAAAGGGGCATCAGAATGTCGGACAGAATGAATCGGATGAATGTGACAAGCAGCTTGATATCATCTCTTTCTTTGCTCCACATGCCTGCCAAGTGCCACGACAGGTCTATTAAACCCAAGCAAGGGCTACATCATCACAAGAATCACCCCAGCGCCCTCTCTCTCTGGACTGCGTGCCCGTGTGGCATTGTCCAGACAGACTCCAGCACAGCAGGCAAGCGGTGCGACAAACTATGCCCCCCAAAACACTGTTGGGCCTGTCTGGTTGCCCAGCTTCAGCTCGTTTAGGTCACATTCTTTCCTTTCCTTAGGAAAAAGCGTCAAACATGTAATTCCTGGATATCCAAGACCTCAAATTCCAAGGTTTTTTTTAAAGGACACCTATTTTTCCCGCGAGCACAAATGGGCTCCCAACAGCCACGCGAAAGACAGGGAATTACAAAGCTTGCAGAGCTGTGAAAGAAATAGGTGAAACAGAACTCTCCACCAAAAGTGCAAGAAAATAGAAACCAGCCGAACATGCAAATACATTACGCATCAGACAGCACAATAATCGAGAGTACCAAGAGCAGTACCATGAGAGGCTCGAAAGCGTTTGGGACTTGGCACAGTCCCATGCATCATAAGCGTGTGGCAAAAGGACCAGTTCTATTTATGGCGGCCTGTTTGATGTTACAAAGAAGTTGGTAGTCCGATATATAAAAACAGTGTGGGGTCCAAACAGAAAAGAGCAGGAATCGTTGTAAGTTTCAACAAAAGCGGAGCTTGGACCAGCGGATCCGACCTAGGTGCCCTCAAAATATGGCCAAATAGGCGGCATTTTGCTTTTTTCCATGTCTGCCCGAAAGGTTCAAAAGTACATCCATGCTCCTGCTGGATGCTAGCGTACATTGGAGCGTTTGTTTGTTCCCGATCAGTGAACGTTGGAGGGATTCCTAAGATCCTTCTGAGAGATTTGTTTTGAAAGGCATTGCGTCGAGATGTATCAGCAGTAGTTAGCTGTATGCATTCAAGACTGTAGAGAAGTTTAGACCTAACAATAGCGTTGGAGACTTGTATTTTCCATTTGACACTGGTGTTAGCTTTTGACCAGAATATCTTAAGCCTGTTACACGTTGCTATGCAGTCGCTCAGTCTATTGGAGATCTCTGTCCGGTTGCCAAAGGAGTCCGACAACAGGGTGCCGAGATATGTAGCAGAGCTTTTCCGTGGAACCTTGGTACCTTGTGCTGGGCCATTCGGAGCGAAATGAACGGAAGATTGCAGTTGGTTAGAGGTGAGATTTTACGCATTTGCCGTAGTTCAGTTTTAACCCAAACTATGCAGAATGTCGTTCGATAGCATGTAGGAGAACATTAATGGAATGAGTATTGGCACCGAATATTAAAGTGTCATCAGCATACAGAATCTCAGCAAAATGAACGTCGTTTATTGGTTGCTGTTGTCTTGGGGTGTTAAGTTCTTGCTTCAAATCAGCAAACAACGCTCCCATGACCAAACAGAAAAGATATGGGGATAATGGGCATCCTTGACGGATCCCCGCACCTTGGCATTTCCAAGAGGAATCTTGCCCATTCATAGACACCTTGAATTTGCGTTCCCTATAAAAGCTTTGGATAAGACCGATTATGCGGTTGGGGACCTTTAATCGAAACAAGGTTTCAATCATTTTATCTTGGAACACTTTATCAAACGCCTTTTCACACGTTAACGCAGCAAGAACAATATCACAATTGCTCAAGCAGGTGCCGCCGTGATATATTATACACACACATTATATAGTTGAAACCCCGGCTACCTACTCCTCTGGCTGGTAATGCGTTTGCTCAAAAAGAGTTGTATAATGTTGTATATATAAGGTGTGAGATCGAGCTTCATCGTCATCTGGCAAGCCAGTTTCCATTTTGGACGGATCTTCGACGTCTTGGGGATCTTTGGCTACATGACCAAAGGATGTTCTACCCCTTCGCTGTGGAACGCTTCGGTGAAGTTCCTCAAACAGTCCAAATCCGGTCAAATCCAATCAGTCACATCTGCACAAAGGAATTGGAATATATAAATGGATTCCCAACTCTTTAAGTCAGGTTGCGCTGTACTTATCATCTGTGAAGTATTCGATTCTATGCTGTTTTAATGTTGTGGCTGGCCTCTGGTCCTTGGCATGCTTCAGGCGTAGGATGAGGCTGACCCAAACAGCGGCCTCATCACACGTATTGGGCTCGAATTGGAAGTTGCCGCCGCATGTTTTTTATAAACACTATTATTCATATATTATATATATAGTACAATATCTATATATAACTATTGTGTCAAGTTCGGAAAACATTCTCCCGATTACCCAAATTGGTTGGTCTCCAACGTCTTTGTATACGATCCACACACCTCGGCCCGCTGGTGCTGCAGAAAGCCCGCCAAGCGAGATGCCCTGTGGACAAAGAGTTGGCAAATGTGGCAGTTAAGCAGTTCAGCGTATATTATATATATAATATATCTTCTCACTCTTTTTTGAGGGCTAGACTCGGCTAGACTTCAATCACCGTGAGTTCGTTATCAGCTCGGACACGAGCCCAAAAAACACATCCCAAAATCCACAAAACTGAATCCCGAACAAGGAGGAGACAGGGTAGGTGAGCAATTCCAGAGAGCGGCAAACCGATTTTGAAGAGCAATCCAAACGACAGGGCGGCTGGGGGGGAGGGTACCTGGAACACCGAAAACATCCGAAAACAACCGAACACAAAACCAATTCTGAAGAAAATGCGTACTTCAAACTCCTTCCTGGATCTTCCAAGGGCCAGTTTGGTAGTGTTGGTAATTGACCCGGATTTCCGCGGAATCGGTCGCAAATCAGCGCAAACGTCAGCGCAACACGCACGCAAACAAACACCTGCAATCGACCACAAGCATCTGTAAGTTAAAGCACAACACACTCGCACACACACACACACAAAACGACCAGAAACTTTGAGTGGTTGGAATTGGAAGGTCCGGTTTTCTTTGTTCTTTGAATCATGCATAATTTACCAACCCCTCCAAAAGCAAAAGGACTGCAAACCAAACCCTGAAGACCGAAAATCCGAACCCTGAAGGAGAAGACAAGGAGCGGGACGCCTGAACACCGGACACAGGAACCTCCGGTGTGCGGTGGGTGTGGGGCTGGCAGAAACCGAGCCAAGCCAACCAAAGCCATGTCAAATCCAAGCCACACCAATCAATCCCGTAAAAAAAAGAAGCAAAGCCAAGCCAGCCGAGTCAGCCGAATCCTAAACTCATCTAAACTCTCTGACGCCAAGACAGTCCAACCGAATCCCGAAAAAAGGAAACAAGGTCGGGATATCACCCGAAGACCGAGAAAGTCAAACCAAACATCATCTGTTCAGTCTCTGTCATGCCTGTTCCTAACGAAGCCACGAATCGAAGAATCGAAGATGGCAAAAGCCACAAGTGTCCAAAGGGTGGCCTCCAACAGTTGCTGAAGAGATGGCATGGCCACTCACTACTGCATCTGATCAATCTACTGGGTAACATATGATGAGATGTAATGTTTGTAGGCTTCGGCTCATGTGGCTCTCCAAAACATATTGCAATTGCAATGGGTAATGTTGTGAGTGGAACTGTTCTCAGACTGGTTTCTAGGTGATAAACACTGCATGGTAGATGCTAGCCGAACTCTCAAAATTTGCAGGCTGGAACCGACATGTTTGTGCGCATTCGACAACATCGCTCGGTTGTTTTGGATAGCTGCACATGCTGAAATGAAACGAGCTGATTTGACGGAAGTGGTGCGGGGCAGGGTAGAATCAATGTGCGCAAAGCAAAGTGCAGCAACGTTAGAAGCGACATCAAACAAGCCCAAAGGAATACAGTAGCAATGTGCTGAGCTGTGCTTACCATGGTATCTCTGACCTACCATCTCTTCCAAAGCTAGGTCAAAAGCTTCCCCTGTATTTGACAAAAACCCAACGAGTTCCCAAACATACACCATCGATGTGTAGTCTACATGGTGTGGTGAACATATCTGAACATGGCAGCGACACACTTGCAGCGTCTTGCTGTTGGCCTGGGCCGCAAGGTTTTTTTTTATCGCTCCGGGCCGAATGGCAGGGTGATCATGGCAGGTCTCAGGTCACCGACCGAAGCACCCCCTACTCTCAGTATTGCGGGAGGCTTATGGGACACGGAGAGACGGGCAAGGTGCCGGAGGCTGAAGTTAAAGTACAGTATATAAGCAAAGGGATGCAAAGGGGATAGAATTGGGATAAGGGATTCCAATTGTGCAGTCTTTCGATATTAAAATACAAAATTATGCGTGCCTGCTAGGAGTTGAAAAGCAATTAATTCAATGCGGGCGAGCAGGCTAGCATAGCAAATGAATCTTTGGACTTTGGGATGCCGATTCAAGAATCAAGAACAACTCCACAAGTTCAACATGGTTCTCTCCAACATCCCGATGACTTCTTTCAGCCGCTGGCGGCGCTCATCGCATCTGCAACGGTCTCAAACAGTTTTCCAAACCCAACTCTTGACATCTGCACAGCACTTACCTATTTTAAAGAGAATCAAAACTGGAGTGAGAGGGGGCTTCCACACAATCAGATCTGTCTGAAGTATCACAGCATGATTATCACCACCGTAGACGTACCATGGGCATGAACATGTACCGTGTGTCTGAAAGCATGCCCATCTGTCATATGCCTTCGCCTTCCAGCCCAGCCGTCTGAAAAGCTCGTGCGTCAGCCCATGAGTCTGAGCCTCTGCGCTACACGAGCAGCACGAGCAATTATCAGTCCAAGGTGGAGTTGCAATATCACTCCTCCCAAAAAAAATGCGTCTGCCGCTTCACTCGGTGTTGTCATCAGCCTATACTTCGTGTTGCATTTTACACTAGGATGCCTGAGCTTCAAGGAGAAACAAATATCTCAACCCTAATCTTCAAAGGCTAAGTTTAACTTCGACGTTGTTTCTGTCTATGTTTAACCAGGTTAAACTTCGTCGTTCTGCGGAGTCTGTTCTGTTTAAGACAACTAACATGAGTAAAACTTAAGTTTAACTTCGACGTTTCTCATTGGCTAAGTTAAACTTCGACGTTGGAAGTTCTGGGTCAAGTACTTCACTCCAACCGCGGAAAAATGATCCTCTTGAAAGTGGCGCCGATGCTCTTCCCAGCTGGACCCCTCAGCCTGAAGATGTTGTCAGCGTGGGCCTGCAACGGTCGACGGTCACCGCCGGTGTTGGGTACAGCGAACGGACGACAAGCAGCGGCCTTGGCTCAGGCTGGGACTTGGCCTTGGCCTTGGACACAACCGCAATTCGCAGGTCACTCAACTACTCCTGTGGTGGTGCTGTCCAAACAACCTGAAGTAGGCCAAAAGGCGCCAGGTGAAGAACAAGTCTGTGTGTCAACCTTTGCACTGAGGGCCGCACTGTGGGACACGTTGTGATCTCTGGCACAACTGTGATCTCAGGAACCGAGACCTCCGGAAAAACATGTTGTGCTCGGGAACCTGTGCAACATGTTATTACAAACGGCGCTGAAATATCCGCACGTTGCCGTACATCCTCGCCCTTCCTTTTCGAGCTGGACCAAATATATCATGTCTGCTTATTCAGCACTTCGCATGTTCCTTATTATTCACATAAATTCACATATTGTTTTAATGATCTAGGGAACCCTGCATTGGGCCCCCCCCGTGCAGAACTTCATGAAGATTTGGAAGCTGCCACTTCTGCTGGCTCGTTCCATGCGGATGACTCAGGCTCGCAGTGCCAGGCTTCTTGGCGATCAAAATCTCCAATTCGTTGTTTCAGTGTTGCCATGTTGTCCTCTAAAATGTGAGCAGTTCTTTAAGGCTGCAAGAGTAAAGCTTCCGCTTGGCATTTCGCACGGTCCAGTCTTGAAGCCAACCTGCGGCTTTGCAGGGAAGCTGGTCACTTCGACTGCCGCCTTGCACGTTCCAAAACAGCTACGGGAAGCGAGGCTCCTATTCCAAAGCTGCAGCCTAACCCCTCCGTTAGCATCTATTGTGTAGAAGGTGGAACAAACATGTAAGTAATATCAATTTCCGTCACTTCGTCTCCTTCTTCTTTCTTAGCCCTATAGATCCTCGTGGTGAATTGATGAAAGCAAAGCATCCTAATAATGAAACTGACTGAATATCAAAGTGAAAACCATATTCGGCATCTCCAAATCCACCACAGCAAACTCCGGCAAACTCCTTGTAACAATTGCAGCAATGGAAAATGGAACAATGGAACACAGAACTGCTGGCATGATTGCTTATAATATTCAGAAATCAAAGCCAGTTGGCGTAGGGCATAGGTGATTCCTTCATTCAACTGCCAGAAGCGTCCACATAATCTTTGAAGTTGCAAACCCGCCAACTTATCCCGCAAACTCCTAAACTTACTGTAAGCGTCCTCTCTCGCTCTGGCCTCAGCCTTCGCGGAAGCAGGCACCTGCAAGGAAGAACAAAGTATCTTTCAGCTGCTTTGCACTAGTTTCTAGATGCTTTCCAATCTAACATTGAAGGAAGGCATTGTCAATACAAAGAAATCAGGCAACAAGGCTTGCAAGGTGTGGTGGGTCACAAATCTTTCTTGTGCCTGCTTCGCATCTGGAAACCTTGTCTTTTCTATGGCCTTGAAGGCAGCTGTCAACTCTCAACATGCACTTGCAGAATGAAACACCAAAGTGAAAACAGCACACAACAAACATTGTTGCCATTGAAGACTTTACAGTCGTATTTGCCTATGCATTTGCCTTTAGCAGTGCTTGGCACTGTGAGTAGGTTGCCCGCGCTTCCAATCTTTTCCATGGGACGTTGTATGTTTCACTGTTTGGATCACTGCCATTCGCCCCGTCGCCTGTCGTGTCACCTGAGAAGCGCCAACCAACGCTTCTCAGGTGCCACAAGCCAAACGAGTAGCGTTCTTGCTCCTAGTAGCGATGCCAGGAGCCCCTAGTAGCGTCCTTGCTCCTAGTAGCGATGCCCTTTGCTCCTACAAGCGACACCACCGGTCCCGACGCCAGTGCCAAACAGCAAAGCCTTGCCAGTTGCCAAGCATGGACTTCCGAGGCCCTTGCCAGCTGGCTTTGTGTGATTGAGAAGTTCGTTTCCTGGAGATCCAATGGCTTGGCACTTTTGGCATAGGCAATTCTTTAGGATTCTTTGGGACTTATTTAGCTGGCCACTCACACAAATAAAAACAAAGAAGCGCATGCAGCCGCGCTTGTCAACCGCAATGGCTACTAGTTCGCCAGATATTTCTTGAGGGCTGAATGGGGCTTCGCATTAAGCACAAAAACTGGCGTTAATGGCACACCTCCAAGAACCCGCCTTGTCCAAAGTGCTTTGCCTCGATCCGCAGCCACGAGTCGCACACTGATGAATCCATGTCTTCAGAGACCAACATGGACTCTTGCCCTCTCTCTTCCTCGCATATCTGGGATGTGTTGCTTGGCTTGTGGATTGGCAGAATCATGCAGAATCCAATTGCAGTTGGATTTGGCAGAATCTTGACAGGCCAAGCCGCTCAGACGAGGTAAACGTCAGAGTGTCGCTTGGACCTTGCTGCTGCCCATCTCCACACTCAAACATATGGGAGATGAAAGCGTTGGTAGATTCTAGATGAAACCACTGTAAGCGTTGATGACAAACATTGATGTTGGAGCAACATCAAATGAGACAAGAATAGAGTCGTGAGATGCTGAATGATGCTGTCAAAAAGCGGTGGCAGAATGAATGGCAATCCGGTAATCCAAACAAATGCCGGTAGTAAGGTGTCACTGATGCTAGTAGGGACTGCGCAAATCTCCAATGGCGAACTTTCATCAAAAGGTCGTGTGGTCCTGTAGGTTTTGTGGTCCAGTAGGCCCATATTGGCAGCATGTTTGATCAAAAGTAGGCCACAAAATGAGCACCAACAAATTGGGAAAAGCATGGAAAAGCCCCTTTTCTTGCAGCCTGCCTGTGCTTAAAGCATTCAAAAATCGATCACTTTGCGCCAAGGTGCTAGTTCGTCTGGCTGGTATGTCCTGCCACCGTGCAAACAATGCCACACAATGTTGTTGCACCTAAACAACTTCCGACCTGACTGAAGCCGGATCGTTGGTCAAAACTGCTTGCAGCTTGCACCTTTGCACTACACACTAGCCCACCCAGCACCAAGACTCCATTCAGAAGGATTTCACTCTGGCTCACGTATGGACGCGGAGGAGCCTTGTCTGGAAATATATGGAAATATATGAGCAGGGACGCTGCGCCACTTCCGTGTGAATGTTAAGTGTAAGGGCAGCGGGCCAAAAACCATGCTGTTGCCATCCGAAAAAAGCTCCTGGTCAACGGATGCTGGCACTAAGGTCACTTCAGACCTTGGCAAGCCGTAACGCTGACCTCAAGAACCATCAGCAAACCTGGCGTGCCCCCCTGCACCGCAAGCATATCCTACCACTCTCATGTCAAAGTCAGGTTGTGCCTTGCAAGTCTTCAATATTGGGACGCTGGAGGCGGCAAAGCCAGGCCAGCAGGCCAACAACTGCTCAACAATGACTGGCGCCGCTGACTGATCGAATCATACCTGTGTTCATGGCTCGTGTGATAGTGGATTGCCGTGGTCAGGGGCTGCCATTGAATCATACCAACACTCACCCGCAAGCCAAGGAGGGGACTTCTCCTTGGGGGTTTTCTCCAACCTCGGGAGGGAGGGAAGGATGAGGAATTGAGGTGGCAAGTAACAATTGTCGTGGAGGCGGGATGCAGGGGTCAAGTCCTCTAGCCGAGTCTTCTATCAAAGAGACTGCTTCAAGGCAAACATTAAACTAAGTACTCACAAAGCGGCGGCTATGACGGGTGTTAGCATCCCATTTCACATCATTTAATAATTTCACCATTCTTCTCACATCACACTTGATATTGACGTTTCGACTCTCAACAGGCTGGATCAGGATCAAGTTCCCTTTTTCCGTGCCAGCTCTTGGTAAGTGCGCTTCAGTTGGTCTACTGCCTCTCTCCACCTTTCGTCAAAGCATCCATCATCTATGCGCTCCGCCAGTGTCTTCCTCGAATACATGGTGGAAGACCGCCGATCTCCTTTGTATAGCCTTCTTGTAGCTTCAAGGTTGAACAAATCGTTATCTATTTTCAATTGGATCGGTCAAATTCAACTCTATACTCTTACTTCCAAGATCGATTGGTAACACACGTGGGGGCCATGATGTGTATATATGTATATATCTATACATTATGTATCACTATGTATATAACAATCTTTGGAATTCGCACGCATTGATAGACCATGATGGACAGCTACCAGGGCCAAGCTGCAAACTCAAAATCTAGCCAACTCCCACCAAACCAATTTGCCATAAGTTTATTCTGTAAGCAAGCCCCACCTACGGTACCAAGTTCAATCCAAGGTTCTGTGCAGATTCATGGGGCACCATCACATCCAACGCCTCCCAAGCTGAACATTCCCAACGCTAACCACCGGAACGTCTCGAGTCTTGGATCGAACTTGTCTCGTTTGCCCAACAAAGCAATCCAGTGGCAACACGCTGGTTGCCAACCGTCGGCTGTCATGCCGTGATGACCTTCATGGCAGCTCGTCTCACAGCCCTCTCCGGGTCCTTGGTGTGAACAGAAACACATTTCATTGCCACTTGGTCGCAACCAGGGCCAGCGCAGTCTTTCTCTTTAGACCACCGGCGCAAAAGAAAGAGGATTGCAATCGGACGACGGTTGAAGAACATCGCTCAACGAAAGAAAACATGGGTCGGTCTAAGCTCTACACAAAACACAACAGCATGCTATCAGGCTGTCACTCGGCTGATCGCCTGTCGCTCGAAAGCGTCCGACGGTCCGGTCCAAACATCGGGTCAAAACATGCGCCAAGGGGCCGTAAGCGCACGGATCAAGGCTTCAAAGGTGGTGTTGCTCCAGTCACTGAGACTCAACAAGGCGTCCACTGCTGAGCAGCGAATTCGCACTTGCCCATCTTCCAACAAAGACGTCCTGAAAATAAAAACAAATTGCCAAGAGTGACTCGTCAAACAAGAAAGTGCTGTGTTCTTCTCTTTGGCTGCACCACGACAGCTTCGCTCGAACACTGTGCCGTGTGTCGAACTTGCTCTGCATCCAAAAGGCAGCGCTGAACTGCTACGGCTACATCCTGGGAACAAGAGCTGTCGAGGCTGGATGTGAAAAAAAACAAGCAAGAAGATCAAGAAGCAGCTTCCTCTCACATTCCCTGGTCCTTCTGCCACGTGCGGCAAAAGCACAACGGCGCTGTGCCGCACATCCACGTCAGGATGAGACAAATACATCTCAACGGATTCAAACAATCCTCTGCATCCTCTCAGCCGGTGCAACAAACAAAAGTAGGCCTTATATCCTGCATGATCCTGCCACCCGAGTACCCTAGCACAACGTTCACAATGGCTTTGATCATTGGCGAGGCTTAGCTCAAAACAAATAAAACAAAGGTCGTGCTATACACAGGTCTACAAGCACCACACTTTCAGGATGCAGGTTATGTGTATCTTAGGAGCACAGGTTTCAGTCTCACCTAGTATGATCCCTCACTCTCATCAGTCCTCTCCGGGCCAGTGATGGCAAATAACGCAACACTGCCTCCTCAGTCTGAGACACATGAGTACCCACTGCTGCTTCAAAGCACATGCTGTTCCAGGTGCTTGATTTCTTGCCGGGTGTCTCGAACGTCGCGCTCTGCATCTTCCAAACATGCAACCATGCTGAGTGCAGCTTGTTCGTCCCCTTTCACGGCAACGTTCGCCAATATCTCCTTGGCACAAGTTCACAGAACATCCAAACTCTGCTTAGGTGGACGCTGCATGATGCTGCCATGGTGTCAAGGCCAGGGCATGACAGTTACTCCCCGTTTTCTGCTGCAATTTCAGCACATTGGGATAGTATAAGCATCAATCATGCATGGATAGTGGCGAAGTCTAAGTGACTAAGGCTAGCCAGCGGAACAAGTCTGCGAAAAAGGGGTGGAGTTGCTGTACTGCTAAGGAGTTGGAATAACGGGGGGGGCAGTGGGCGGTTACAGCTAGGAGTCCAGGGCCTGACATCTGATGTCACGGTCTCGGTCTTGCAGGCATGGGATGACAATAGCCGTTGCACAATCTTGCTGGCCATGGGAAAGAGCGGCCACAGCCTTGGGTTGATGCCAACGTGCTTGACATGTGGACATGAGGACACATTTAATATGGATACTGTTAAAAAAAAAAAAAAAAACAACTGGCGCCAACTATCAAAACAGGATCTGACAATATTTGAATTATGTAAAGTATATACACAGTATACTACTATAATATAGTTATATAACTTGTCTCGGCCATGGCTCCTTGAGCGCAGCTTGACGTACTACCCAGTTGCTGTGGTCCAGCAACAAGGCACATTCACGCATAGCACTTCCAGCACCTGCCACTCTATATACATCTGTTTGAACAACATGTAGATCCAATGCCATCCGTCTTTCCTACAGGTCGACCGGAAAGTCTTAGATCTGGTGACTGGTGGGCCTGCTTCACCGGCGGCAAGTGGAAGTGCTTCCACCACTGTTTGCCTTGCCCAGGATTGTTTTCCGGTTTTCTCTGGTGATGTCTGCCAAGCAATGGGTAGCCTAAGAATCCAAAAGTATTTAACTTAATATGCTACAGTATGTCCTTTACTGGTGCATCTGATATGCCCTCCTCCACTGCGAAGCCACTCTGCAAGTATTTTCTTGACAACCTCTCTCATCCCATCTGCAATTGTTCGATGCCTGACTTGACGATCACCATGGCTGAGCTTGGCGACAAGGCGGGCAATGAACATCGAGTCACCTGTGCCATGCCCGTTGACATGATCAATTACATGCACATGCACAAGGCCAATAACCATGGCTCAGGAAAACCAGTCGTGGCACAGGACCATGATGCATTGAGAAATTGTACGACAAGCGAGATTGCAAGAAAGGTGGACGAACATTGCACAACCGTGCATGTATAAAAATACATGTATGTATAATACTGACAATATACATAAGAATTGTTAGATTAGATAATGTTACATAATTGTATGCGTGCCTGTTTTGCACATAGACTTGGCTGATGTTTTCCGTCATCAACGATCAAGTTTAGGCTAACACCCGCCTCTTTACACGAGCTGCCCTCTACAGAACTGACAATATAATTACATGCCAGCATGATTGATCCAGGCTACATTTTGACAATGAGTTTGGCTTGCACTCCCGCCAAGATACCAGGCAACACAAGAGTCGGTATAGACTCCTTTGCCTGAGCAAATTGAGCTGAATGACCTCTACGACTCTGACCAATGCCACATCTCGTTTCCAAGAAAAAACATATACAGTATATATATATATACACAGTACAAATCACAAGCCTGGCCATTTAATGCAATGCGTGAACACATGGCTTTTGGGAGCATGTTCGCACTGGCTGCTCAAAAGCTATGCTATAATAATAGGCATACTGCAACCCGCACCAAGTGCAATTTGAAAAAGTTGAATTTCTCATTCTCCTGCCTTGTTCCTGACCGTCTCGTCGGCATCAGTTATGCCAGCCAACAAGGCATCAAGAGCTCGATCCTCACCTTGGCAACTCTTCGAACAGCTCGTCCCACAGCAAACGCACACAAAAAATCATTCGTGGCGCACCTCTGGGAGCTACTTGCGCAAGCTTCTCCAAAGCGTGGCACCTCAGAAGTATCCACGAGGCACCGGGACAAACAAGCACTGGTGCTTGTTCGAGCACAGAACAAGGAGAACTTGTGGGAAGATGCCTTCTTTGATTCAGTTCTTAGTCTGAAGTCTGATGCAGGCTCCTTCATCATTAGTACTCTGTGGCGCTCACAATATCAAACAAACATCTCCATGTGCTACACGCATAAGTCTTGATCCTGGAATTCTAGAGGCATCACTCCCATCCTGCACAGAAAACCACATGAGCACGGCAAAAGCTTGGCCAAGCATCTTCACCATCATCTCACGCAAGCGATCACACCCGCAAATAGAACAAAGCAAGGTGGCGATGTCCTAAGATTTCCATAAGCCACACAGCCACATCATCCAAATACATCAAACCCAGACTTATATACAGTAAAACCCCCTCCATGAGCCGCACAGCCTACGGGGAGAGACATGGAGCTGCTTGCGATGCAGAGTCGTTGATCACCAGCTGATTGCCCTTTCCCAACAAAGCCAAGGTATCCAATGCGGTCATCTGCAGCAATGGGGCCTGGGTATGGACAAGCGGTGACCGTACCTGCTCTTGAGCCCCTCCTGGGTGACTGTACAGTTCCACTTGGAACATGTGATTGGCTACCAACTCCATCATCTCTCTTTTCTTGAGGTTTCTGAGAAAGGTCCGCTGCATCGTGAGGAAGGGAGGCATAAACACGCTCTAGAAAGACATATTCATGCATGTGGCTCAAAACACCTAGCACAGTAGGAGCTTGGAACGAAAAAGGGCCTATGCCTACGTGGTGGCCTCAATTGTTCCGTTAAAGGTCAAGACCTGCTGTTTCCTGTTTTCAGGTCTCGATGCCGGCTGCTCCAGCGCGTGCAATGCAGCTTCCAAAGCACCTCTGGTTGACGAAAATCAACCAGGACTGAATTTGACGAGACGTGATCATGGCCAATGTCATTAAGATTTATGTCTAACTAGCA